AGAGAATGGCGAGAGAGAAAGGAGCGGAGCCGGGACGCAATGACTCGTCTCAGGACCTTGGAGAGGAATGGGAGGTTAGGGATGGGGCAGTAGCTGGAGAGTAGCGATGGATCCAGGGAAGGTTTATTCAGGATGGGGGTGATGACAGCTGTTTTTCGGGAGGTTGGAACTGAACTGGTGGACAAGGAGAGGTTGATGACATCGGACAGGAGAGGGGCCAGAAGGTGGAGCTGGGAGACGAGGAGAGAGGTGGGAATGGGATCGAGGGAACGGGTGGTGGGTTTGAGTTTGCGAACAATCGCAGAGAGGGAGGAGGGAGAGATAGGGTCGAAGGAGTATAGGGGGGGATGGGTGGGGGGTGGGTCATGAGAGAGAGGTGACGTGGGGTTGGCTGTGGACGGGGCAGAGGTGGCTGAACGTATCCCCTCGATTTTGGTTTCGAGGAAATCCAGCATCTCCTCACAGTTGGAGTTTGAGGAGAGGATGGGTGAGACGTGGGACGGTGGACTGAGCAGACGGTTTGTGGTGGAAAAGAGAAGCCGGGGGTTGTCCTTTGCCTCCAAGATAACTTGGAGTAGAAGGAGGATTTGGCGGAGGCAAGAGCGCAGCGGTAGATCTTGGTATGGTGAAGCCAGATCTGCTGATGGACCGTTAGTTTGGAATTGGTCCAGGCGCGTTCGGCAGCTCACACTTGTGCCTTGAGGGAACGGAGATGGCTGGTGTACCAGGGGAATATACGGGATTATGAGGCTGTTCGGGAGGTGAGGGGGGCAAGGAGTCCAGAATTGAGGAGAGGGAGTTGTGGAGAAAGGAGAGTGAGGAGGGGAGATCGGTCAGAGAGTGCCAGAGGTGCAGGAGCTCAGATGACTCCAGGGCAGTGGAGAGGGAGAGGGAGGAATTTTTTTTCCATGGACGGTATGTGATAGTGGAGGGTTGAGAAAGGGGAAGTGGTACAGAGGTGTTGAGGGAAATGAAGTGGTGGTCTGAGATGGCTTTACCGATGATGGTGATGTCCGAGACAGTGAGGCCCCGGGTGATCACCAGATCAAGGGGGTGGCCACCGTCGTGGGTGGTGGAGTGGATGAGGAGGGAGAGGGTAAGGGAAGAGAGGAGGGAGAAGTCAGCAGAGGTAGAGCAGGAGGGGGTGAAGTGGAGGTTGAAGTCACCTAAGATTAGGAGGGTGTTCAGAGCAGAGGGAGAGGGAGAAAGGAGGGTAGAGATGTCCGAAAGGAAGGTGGGGGAAGGCTTGGGGTGACAGTAGACAAGGAGGATTTTGAGGGAGAGCCTGGAGGGGTGGTAGAGGGTAAGGTGTTCGAAGGAGGGGAAGACTCCAGAGAAGGGGAAAGGCCGAGAGGGGACCGGGAGATGAGAGCCACACCACTGCCACGGCGATTAGACCATGGGGTTTGGTGAAAGGTGTAACCCGGGAAGGTTTTGCCTGGGGTGACCCAGGTTTCGGTGAGGACGAGGATGTCGATATTTTCCTCGACGGTGAGGTCATGGATTATGAGGGACATGTTGGTTAATGAGCAGATGTTCTACAGACCGATGCGGAGGGGACAGTTAGTGGTGGGAGTGTGGGGGAGATGAGGGGGGGGGGAGGGGGTGGGCAGGCAGATTGGATGGGGATGTGGGTGAGGGAGGAAAGGTTGGCTCCCGTGAGTGAGGGCGGTGAGAGTTGGGGAAGGGGCAGTTAGGGTGGGTGCTGTAGGACAGTCGACGGCGTCTGCCACGGTGGGCACAACAGAGAATGTGTATGGAGGAGCAGAGGGAGGCCATGGTGGGGGGGGGGGGGCTCGAGGAGGGATAGGAGTCGGGGGAGGCTGAGGGAGAGGAGGGTTGAGCGAGAATAGTGGAGGGAAGGGGCCGCGGTCGGGAACATCTTGCGGAAGCAGCTCAGGTCAATTGTGGCAGCAAATGGGCGCAGGCTGAGACTCGGAGCGGACAGGAGTGTTCAGCGAGCCATGGTTAGCCTGCTGGCCTGGTGAGGCTCAGTGAGGAGATGGGGGCAGTGATGTTCTTCCCAGTAAGTCCTGGCCTCGAGATTCAAATGAAGGGGGCGGGATGATGTCACGTGGCAGCCGGTTGTTGATCGGCTGAGCCCTCAAGAGAGTCCCGAATGGTGGCGTGGGAGCTGATGGCGAGGACGCTATTGGTGTGGGCCAGCCGAGGCGATGGGTTCCTCGCGAGTCCCTCTGTACTGCACTGGGTGGCCTCGGGTCTCGCACTGGGTCCGGTTGCCGCTCGGGGCGTTGAAATCCTCACTGGGGAAGTCCTCAGACCTCGAGTTAGCCTCGCCGCAGGTCCCGCTCGCCGCTGAGCTAGCCCCAGGCGCCTGCTCCGACCGCGTCCCAGGTCCCGCTGGTTGTTGAGCCGCTGGACGTTGAGCCGCGGGTCCCACCCGAGGCACTAAGTCCCAGCCTCGCTTTGCGCGCCTCGGGCCTCGATCCTGGGTAGGTCACCTCCATCTCCACGCCATGATTCCACTCCAGGCTCCCAGGCTGCGGGAGAATTCGACCTCGAGCCCCAGGGCTCCTGACACCACAGCTTCAGTCTGGACAACCCACAGACAGCCTCATGCGGCTCAAGGTCAGCAAAGCGCCTCACGAACCCAGCCTCCGGATCGTCGCCATTGTGTGAACCGCTTGGCCCTATGAGCACTGGGCCCAATGGGATACCGGGCCATATGAGCCATTGGGCCCAATGAGGCACTGGGCCCCATGAGCCACTTGGTTGCACGAGCCACTGCGCCCCCTGCGCCACTGGGCCCCCTGTGCCACTTGGCCCTCTGAGCCACTTGGACTTCCGAGCTACTTGGCCCACTGAGCCACATGGTCCTCCGATCCATTGGGCCCTCCGATCCATTTGGCCATCTCAGCCACTTGGGTCTCCGATCAACTTAGGTCTTTGAGCCACTTGGGCCATTGAGCCACTTGGCCCTATCTTGCAACCCACTGTGATTACCCACTGTAAGCAGCTGCTGTTTAAACTCCAGTTCTCAATGGGAAGGACATGTGGCCTGAGGAAGATGGTGGCAATGATCTCACACATTTCCTGCTGAGCTGTGTTACCCACCAGGAAGCTCGTAAGGATGTCCTGATATCTGTCATCCCCCTGGTGAAGCTCAAACATGCTCGTCAGATGTCAAATCCTCCAGGGGGATTACCTCCAGGAGGGAGGTAAGCTGGGCCCCCCTCAACTGAAGTGGCTACAAGGTGACGTGTTTGACAACAGCCAGCTCACCGTGACAGCCTCTAGTCTGCTTCCTGAGCCAGGTAGGTCCACAGTATTCCAGGACAGCCCAGCTCATCGGCAGGAATTGGGTACAGGGAGTCGTAACTCTCAGCTGCTGTTAACCCTGCAAGCTAAAGCCCTAACGGGTAGGGTGGTCCTAGCTGGACAAGCAGCAGAAAGCTTGCCAGTCAGGGATATCAATGGCAAGCTATGTGGTTTAGCTGGTTAGAACTTCAGCAGTTACCCCAACGCACACTCTGGGGTCCCCCGAAGCCTTAGCTCTTTCCAACCTGTGCCTAATACTTTCCGGAATAAGTAAACAGGATCCTTTTCTCTAGGGAGAGAGTGCGCATACCATTCCAACACGTGCATGAAAATCTCAGCTTGGTTTGGAGACTCTAAGGCACAATGATGGATTTCCATGTATGTCATGACTCCCGGCTGACCGAGAAAAGTCACATTGTGCCAAGTGTGTGTACTGTGATACAGTGTGTTTTGTGGGCAAACGCAGCAGCCAATTTACACACTACAGTCTCGAGCGGCTACATTCAAAGTCCATCCATTCCAGAGCGGCTCCAGGCTTTCAATCAATTGCGGTATCATCTCCATTCCTTCCCTTGTGTCTCCCTCGTTCCTCTGCCCTTTCACTGATTGACAACTTGGGCATGGAGTGTGACTGGAGCCGCTCGACACTGAAACCTTGAGTGAGTTGAGGCAGTGTGACCATCACTATGGCATTTGTCTGGATTAACTGGATTTTGTCCAAATTAACCAGCATATTTAAAACAGATAAGAATAACAAATGAATTGGGGCTGGGCATTTTTTCCGATTTACTGGGCGTCTGAGGTAAACCAGCTTCTATTGCAATATCAAAACTCCATCACCCTGCCGTCTACTCCTGCTCATTGTTTTACACAACATCGAGCTGGGATCTGCTCTCTTCCTTCAGCCAGCGCTTCTCCCTGAACACAAAAGACTTTGAAACTGGCATATTTTGTCACCTAATTGCTAATTTTTGATTACCCTCATGTTGCTGCTACTATTCCCATGTAATCATCAACACAATGAGCTTCGGAATCAATCACCTTTGGACCTGAATAAGAAATATTACTCTTCCCTCAACAGTGACCCTCAAAATCTCATCAAGTTTCACAGTTGCCTGTCCTGGGGAGAGAGAAGCTTCACTTCATTGCTGATTGAAACCCAGGGCCCATGCGTTGTGGCTCATTTTTCTCTCTTTTGTACAACCCACTGAGATCTACAAACATCTCAAATAACCCACAATCATTTCAACAGTAACAATCCTCCCAAAACACTTAAGATATTAGAAGCCAGATAATCATCATGGAATTACTCGTTCAGGAATCTTTACCCTGCCATGAAGACCACCCAGGCAGGGCAGGGTAGGGCAGGGCAGGCCAGCGCAGGGTAGGGCAGGGCAGCGCAGGGCAACGTAGCGCAGGGCAGGGTAGGGCAGCGCAGGGCAGGGCAGGGTAGGGCAGCGCAGGGCAGGGCAGCGCAGGGCAGGGCAGCGCAGGGCAAGGTAGGGCAGCGCAGGGCAACGTAGCGCAGGGCAGGGTAGGGCAGCGCAGGGCAGGGCAGGGTAGGGCAGCGCAGGGCAGGGCAGGGCAGCGCAGTGCAAGGTAGGGCAGCGCAGGGCAACGTAGCGCAGGGCAGGGTAGGGCAGCGCATGCAGTCAGTTACACAGCGCGAGGCTCCATTATTATGATTTTAATATATATTCAGCAGCAAATACTATCCATAATGTCTTTTGAAAATCATTGAAGAGTTTATTTTGTGTCCGGGTTCAGCGGCTGCGGATTACTTTGTCTGCGGATCAGTTCTGCGTACAGCCCTCCTCTCTGCATCAGCTCCACGTGGGTACCAGCCTGCAGCCAATCACAGTCAGTCACCCCAGCCCGCAGCCAATCACAGTCAGTCACCCCAGCCCGCAGCCAATCACAGTCAGTCACCCCAGCCCGCAGCCAATCACAGTCAGTCACCCCAGCCCGCAGCCAATCACAGTCAGTCACCCCAGCCCGCAGCCAATCACAGTCAGTCACCCCAGCCCGCAGCCAATCACAGTCAGTCACACAGCCCGCAGCCATCACAGTCAGTCACCCAGCCCGCAGCCAATCACAGTCAGTCACCCCAGCCCGCAGCCAATCACAGTCAGTCACCCCAGCCCGCAGCCAATCACAGTCATTCAAACCTGCAGCCAATCACAGCCATCCAAGCTTTCAGCCAATCACAGTCGCAGTCACACCTGCTCCACTTTCCTGTTCCACCTGTACCTGTTAGTGTCACTGTCCCCACCTGTGACTGTCTTTGGCTCCGCCTGTATTACAGGTGTCTGTCTCTGCGGGCGCTGTCTGCCCTCATCTGTACCTGTGTTATGGGTGTTTCTGGCACCTGACACTCGGCCTCTGCCTCCCCAGCCCCTAACCACGCAGCATTGTCTCCAGGGCCCAGGACTACCTATATGCAGATGGCAATCAAATCTATCTGTAAAGTTGCACTCTTGATCCCGGGTTCATTGATAATCCACTTGCCAGTCAGACATCAAGGCCTTAATGACCAACATTTCCTGCAACTAGACATGACTCCTGTCACTGTCTCGTTATTTCGTCAACCTCCTTGTCCTCTTCCCAAACTCATTGAATCAGCTCTCCTTCCTCCCTCCATCCCAGTCTCTGACTAAGAACACTTTACTTCAGCATTGCTACATCACCTGTCTTTGTGCCGAGCTCACTCGAAATACCGCGAAAAACCCTGGAGTTGGCACCTCCTGGCTGGATATTTCTAATGCGCTCCTCACTGGTCTCTCGAGCTCCATAAACACATCTTAACACATCCATACCTGCATCCTCACTAGCAATAAGTTTGCATGTCCATCACTCCTGTTCTCATCAGACTCCATTGGTCTCTCAGCTACTTCCTACACAAGCTGGAGACTATCCAGGATTCTTCAGCTCGTGCTCTCCAGCACTAGGCTCTGTAAGCATATCACCCCATTCTCACTTGGCTCCATTAGCTCCCTATCCCCCCAACAAATCAATTTTAAGATCCTCATTTTAACACTTAAATGTCTCCACGGCATTTAACTGAGTGATTACAGGCCTATTTCATGTCCCCTGCCCTGGCCCTATCCCTCTGCCTTGCCCCATCCCTCCCTTTTGTCAACCTCTGCCTCAAGTCTTTCCTCTTTCCCCACCCCCTTGGCTTCCATCCCAGCTTGAGTGCCCAGCCAGCAGTCAAGTACTTCGCAAGATGAAAAGTGTTGTCTAGAGGTATTTTATACATTGGTGGAGAATTAACCCTGAGACTAACCATCTTTTCTGAACTCAATGAAACTCAACACGTCCCTGACTAACCTGGACCTCGCTGGCAACACTGACCTCCTTAATTTGACCATTGTCAAGGACACAAATAACATCTGCTGCCCTGATGGTGCTCAGTCGATGGGCAATGACCAGTACTGTCCGCCCTTTCTTGGCGTGATCCAGAGCCTCCTGTACGACTCTCTCAGACTCCGTGTCCAGGGCACTTGTTGCCTCGTCGAGGATCAGGAGACGAGGGTTTTTAATCAGCGCCCGTGCGATGGCCACCCGTTGTTTCTGTCCACCTGAGAGACTTGCTCCGCGCTCACCTGAGAAACATAGCAGACTATTCACTCACTCGGCCCAGACAATCCTAATAAGGCTGAGAAACATCCACTTTGTTATTGACATTGTCTTTTGTTCACATCTGATTGAATTAATATTTTATAGACAACCGGCACCTGTGGGGATAGACAACGCGTGTGCGTTGCCACCTAGGGGTTCAGTGTGTGTGTGTGGTGGGGGGAGGTGGGAATTCTCTAAAGTATTCCAGACTGAGGTGTTTCTGCTGCTTTAGCACTTTAGAGAAGATTACCTACGATGGTGTTGTATCCATCAGGGAAACTTCGAATGAACCCATCAGCGTTGGCTTGTCTTGCGGCTTCATAAACCTCCTCATCTGTGGCCTCCGGGCTGGCAAAGCGTATATTCTCCATGATGTTGGTGCCAAAAAGCACTGGCTCCTGCAGTATTGAGGGCCAGGGTTATAATATTCCTTACATTTGATTATAGCACCTTATCACATCTTCGAGACTTCTCAAAGCATTTCACAGAATATACTGTAAAGTGAAATGACTGTATATTTTGCAAGTGAAATGTGGCAGCCAATTGCGCACAGCAGTGTCCCACAAACAGTGGCGGATTGAGTGGCCCAATATTTTTTTAAAATAGGGATTATTATCCCCGGAAAAGCGATTTGCCAATCGACAACAACCTGGTACCTACCCCCTGCTAGGTGAACAGAGGCGTGTGGAGTAAGGAAACTTGCCTCCTAACGCTTTGCGCTGCTGGGAATCAAGCCCAGATCTCTCACTAATGAGGTGAGTGCTCTAACCACTGAGCTACAGGACTACAACTAAAACTGTATAGCTTGCCATTGATACTGTTGTCTGGCAAGCACTCTTAAGATATTATTCTGTATGAAAGACAGCGTAAATGCAGGTTTTTGTCACTATGGGATCAGACACACCTGATTTATGAAGCCAATGACATGACTGCGCAGCCAGGAGGGATCAAGTGTCCTGATGTCATAACCATCCAACTTGATAACCCCAACCTCCGGGTCATAGAACCTCTCAAGCAGAGCAGCGATTGTCGATTTACCTGCAATTAACAAGAGAAACGAGAACTTTATTTTACCCACTGTACCTCTACAAACCAACCAAACTTTTGTCCTTCAAACTCTCCCCAAACTATCATCACAATTCAAACCCTCTGCAGCTAAACCCCTGATGGCTGAGTTGCACAAGCAGCGGCAAGCTTTCCAGTGATTGCAGTGACAAACTTTATGGTTTTAGTAAATCAAACTCCAGCCGTCACTCTGGAGTTTAGAACTGGCTGAACAAGAAGCAACAAGGGTTTTAATCAGTTCCTCAAAGTACAACTACTCACCCGCTCCAGACTGACCCACAATGGCCACTGTCTGAAAAGGATGTAGAGTCAGGTTGAAATCGTGTAACACAGAGTGGCCAGGTCTGGTTGGGTAGCTGGGGAAACACAGTAAGGAGAACATTCAACATCTTCTTGACGGGAGTACAGAGCTCGGAGGCAAAAGTTTCAATTCTAAAGCACCTTGTAACAGCAGCATTCCCTCTCAAAAAGGAAATCTAGGCTAAACTCCCTTCTTATACTGAGGATTGGCTCAGGGGGTTTCAGACCTGAACTGTACATGGTGGAATTGCACATGGCCCACTAGTGAGTGAGCGTCTATCTCCAGGCCTCCCCGGAGCGGAATCGTTGGCTGAACCATCATCAACTCCAAAACCCTGGCTCCAGCACTCAGCCCACGTACAACCTGCCAACAAAGCAAAGATAAAAGACTCAGCAACACATTAAGGATTATCATACAGAGGATCCCAAATAGCAATCAGGAATCAGAGAGAGAAATCAAGGCTAGTTGGACACGGAGCTTGGTAGAAAGGCAGAGAGGAAGGTGACCATAACTACAAGCGGCAGAGGATAGAGGCAGAGAATTCCAGAGATTGGGGACACAATGAGTGAAGGTTCAGCAACCGAGGGATTGTGCGATGTATAGAAGCCAATGTTAGCTGAGCATTGGGGCAGCGGCAGGAGTGTGGGTATGAGGAGATCACAGCGATGCAACTTGCATTTACATAGCAGCTTCCTGCAGGATAGGGTCACAGAGCTTTCATAGGGAGGATTAGAATGTAAAGGGATATATATATATATATATGTGAGAGTGAGGACCTTGAAACTGATCCATTCGGGGATGGATCCAGTGGAGTGTGGCAAAGAATAGGGGTTGGACAAAGTTTATTTAGAATTTAGTGTGGTAAGAATGCTCATGGTGGAGTTGTTTTTAGCTGGATCTTGTGGCTGGTGGAACATTTAGGAGATGTGACCCACATGAAGGGCTCAATATAAATCTTGGTCTCCCTAGCTTCACCATTTACAAATACTCCTGACGTGAAAGGCAATATACAAATATAATTTGTTGTTTTTGACGTACAAGTTGCAACGACTATCATCGGGGTGGGGGAGGTAAGCGGGGTCTCTTTGGAGCAATACTGTCTCCAAGATGATATGTTTGTCAATGGAATTTCGAAATCGAGTCAATCCTTTGTGGCAGTCTCAGTTCCCCAGTACTCCACACCACAAAGTAGAAAATTGCTACTAACTGAGCCAGGCTAGTACCAACCAGCACAGTCTCCTGCCAACCTGCACTTAATATTCTCCAGAATAAGGTGAACAGGGTGCAAGCCTTCAGGGAGAGAGTGCAAATACCAACCAAAAAACAAATATCTTGAGAAATCATGATCTTGGATTTTGTTCAATAGAGCTGCTAGTTTTAGTTAATGTCAGAGCCGGACTTGCAGCCGAGAGAAAGAGTATTATAGTCAGTGTCTCACCTGTCCAAACAGGATGGAGATGCTTCCCAAAGACCTGTTACAATTTGAGAAACAGAGAAATGAATACAAGCAGGAATATTGGCTACAGTTTAGGGTATAACAAGACCCTGGACATCAATGAACTCATCCTCGATGAGAACATTGACATTATGGCACTCACAGAAACCTGGATCACCCCAGGTGACACCTTCCCCCTCACTGAGGTCACACCACCCGGCTACACCTACCACCATGCCCCACGCCCCAACCATCATGGCAGTGGTGTGTCCCTCATATCCAGGGCGTCACTTGCCCTATCCCCCTACTCCACCAGCTCGTTCCCCTCTTTCGAACACCTTACACTCTGCCGTCCCTCCCACTTTTCTCTGAAAATTCTCTTACTTTACCGCCCCCCAAAATCCTCTCCCACCTTCATCTCTGACATCTCCACCCTCCTCCCTCTGTTCCGACCGCCTCATCATCCTCAGTCACTTCAACCTCCACTTCACCCCCTCCTGCTCCACCTGCTCAGACTTCTCTCTCCTCTCCTCTCTCAACCTCTCCCTCCACATCCACTCTGCTACCCACACCCACGGTCACCCGCACAACCTGGTGATCACCTGGGGCCTCAGCATCTTGGATGTCACCATTACAGACAAGGCCATCTCTGACCACCATTTCATCTCCCTCAACTCCCATATCCCTCTCCCCGTGGCCTCCAAACCTACCACCATCTCCTACCGCCCGTGGAAGATCTCCCCGCAATCCCACTCCGCTGCCCTGGAGTCCTCTGATCTCCTCCCACTCTGGCCCACCTCTCGCAACCTACTCGCTGTACTCACTCTTCTTCACAGCACCCTCTCCACCACACTCAACGTCCTTGCCTCCCTCACCTCCTGAACTGTCTCCTATTCCCGATCCTCACCCTGGTTCACCAGCCACCTCCGCTTGCTTAAGGACCAGGTGCAGTCTGCCGAACGCACTTGGCTCAAATCTAGCCTAACAGTCCACTGCCACATCTGGCTGGACCTCATCAAGAACTATGACTCCACTCTCGCTTTGGCCAAATCATCCTTCAATTCCAGGTTAATCCTGGAGGCGAAAGGAATCCCAGGCTCCTGTTCTGTTCTCCACCACTAACCGGCTCCTCCACCCTCCCCGATATGCCTCACAGATATTTTCCTCTGACTCGCACTGCGAGAAAATGCTGGACTTCCTTGAGTCCAAAATTGAGGGAATCCGCTCAGCTGCCACTGCCCTCCCAACTTCCATCCCCTCCCTACCCCCACCCAATTACGCATCCGACAGTTACCCATGCCTCCTTCCAAACCTGTCACCCCCTCCTCTGTCTTCAACACAGTAACCTCCATGAAGTCCTCCCTCGACCCCCATCCCTACCCCACTCCTCAAACTCCAGCTCCACCTCCTTGCCCCACTACTTGCCGACATCATTAACCTCTCCCTGTCATCCGGGACTGTTCCTTCCCCGCTCAAAACAGCCACTATCACCCCCACCTTGAAGAAACCTTTCCTTGACCCATCACAGCTATCCAGTTACCGGCCCATCTCAAACCTCCCTTTCCTATCCAAGGTCCTTGAGAGAGCCGTTGCCTCCATGCTTCGCTGTTTCCTCTCCTCTCACTCCCTCCATGAGCCCCTCCAATCGGGTTTCTGTGTTGCCCACAGCATGGAAACTGCTCTGGTCAAGGTCACAACGACATCCTGACCATGTGTGACCAGGGCTCTCTCTGCCTCCTCAACCTCCCCGATCTCTCCGCCGCCTTTGACATCGAGGACCACTCAATCCTCCTCCACCGCTGCTCCTCCCACCTCAACCTTCAAGGTTCTGGCCTTGACTGGTTTAGGTCCTACTTTTCACACCGCCTCCACTTTGTCACGGCAAACGGCTTCTCTTCCAGCCCCCGCACCGTCTCATGCGGTGTCCCTCAGGGCTCTGTCCTCGGTCCCCTCTACTTCACCCTCTACATGCTCCCCCTGTGGTGACATCATCCACAGACATGGGGCAAATTTCCACATGTATGCGGATGACACCCAACTCTACCTCTCTGCCTCCATCCAGGAAGACTGGTGTCCTGACCGACTGCCTGTCCCACATCAAGTCCTGGACGAGGGACAACTTTCTCCAACTCAACGTCAGCAAGACCGAGGCCCTCCTGATTGGCTCGCACCAGCACCTCCACACCTCGGGCTCTGGCAGCATCAGCCTCCACGGCTGCACACTCAACCTCACTGAGCCAGTCAGGAACCTGGGGATCTTGTTTGACCCTGAACTGTCCTTTCTCCCCCACATCCGCACCATGACCGGCACTGCCTACCACCACCTCCACAACACTGCCAGACTCCGCCACTGCCTCACCCGCTCAGGCTGCCCAAACCCTCACCCACACATTTGTCACCTCAAGGCTCGATTAAGGGAACTCCCTCCTCATTGGCCTTCCCAACTCTTTCTTTCACAAGCTGCAGATCATCCAAAACTCTGCAGCCTGTGTACCACGCACCAGGCTCTGTGACCCCATCACTCCCACCCTCGCCCGACCCCATCACTCCTACCCTCACCTGACTCCCCATCCCCCAGAGGATCGAATTCAAGATCCTCGTCTTCACTTTTAAGGCCATCCTACCTCTCTGACCTGCTGACTCCCTACCAACCTGCCCGCTCCTTCCGTTCAGTGGGCTACGGTTGCTCCATGTCTCCCACCCATTGGTGGCTGGGCCTTCAGCCTCTCTGCCCCCACACTCTGGAACTCCATCCCGCGGTCCCTTCGCCTCGCTTCCTCCCTCACCTCCTTCAAGGCCGGTCTCAAGACCCTTCTCTTCGATCGTGCCTTTGGTCTCCCTCCCACCTCTCTGCCTTCTCTCACCCCTACCCCACCCCTCCCCCATGCTGGGGCCCCGACCTGACTGTTCAGAGCTTTGGGATGACCTCCCGACGTGAAAGACACTCTATAATTGTAATTTTGTTGTTGTTGTTATATAATTAATAGATATAATGGCAATGGAAAGGTACTTCAAAGATTCACTAAGGTGCCACCAGGCATGAGGATCTTCAGTTATGATGAGACTTGAAACATTAGGGATTTGGTAGTTGCTGGAGGTGTGGGAGGAAGCAAAATGAGATTGGTTCAAATGGAAAAAATCGAGCACAGATTTTATAAACCAAATGGGTTGCTTCTGTACTGTCACATTCTGTGATGAGGGTATTATAGTCCAATTAGCCTGAACTCAGTTGTGACTACATTTCTGCAGGATAATAATCCTTGCATTTGATATAAAGCTTTTCATGTCTGCTGGATGTCTCAAAGCCCTCACAGAATATACTGTAAAGTGAATTGACTCTATATTTGTGGGCAAAATGCGGTAGCCAATTGCGCATAGCCAATTGCGCACAGCAGTGTCCCACAAACAGTTGTGGATTGAGTGACCAAATTATTATTGTTTTTATTTATTTGTTTATTTTTATGCTCATTAAAAGCATTTGAGGTGTAATTAGAATCAACAATCCACACACAGCTGCTGCATATTAGTTTACTGTAAAACAGTCCAATGTCTTGAATGTTTGTGAGTTTGTGACATCTAGTGGAAAAAGTTTGTGTCAACTCAACCAGAAGTAACAAGCCTCTTTCAATTTCTTTATTTTGCCTCTACATTCAGATTGTAAGCTAGTTAGAAAGCTTCAGTTAGAAAGCTTCACTGGAGCACCATTATAATAAACAACAAATAGAATTTGATGGAATTTATGAACGTTTAGAAAGGCAGCCCCATCCTCCCCCGCATGAACCTCCATAGCTAGGCTTCAGGAATCCTCTCCCTCCCTCATGGAGATAGTGCATGGATGCCCTGTCTCCTGTATGCTTTCCCCCATCGCCCCCACCCCCCCCGAACCTCCTTGGTGGGCAAATATTTTGTACACAATAAGCTAAGTTTAAAAAAACTGTATATATACTGAGAATTTTAAAGAATAACAATTACAAACTGACCTTTGAATCGTTTGGGAAGCCACCAGAAAAGACATCAGATCCCCAGCACACATCTCCTCCCTCATAATAAGAGATCCACCGGCGTAAATGGTGCCCAGAACAATGCCTGAGGAACACATAGGAAGTGGAAAACCTCTCAGCAACAACAAATTACACTTGTATATCGCACTTCACGTCAGAAAGACGTCCTAGGGCGCTGGACAATCAGGAATTTTGGTCCAGAGCTGGGAGTTGGGGTCAGGAGGCATGGAGGGCAGGGAGGGGGGGGGGAGGGAGTCGAAGGCACAGCTGAAGGGGAAGGTCTTCAGACAAGACATGAGGGGGAGTGAGGTGGAGGGATTGCAGGACAGAGCTCCAGAGGCTGGTGGCAGAGATGCTGAATGTCCAACCGCCAATCATTGAGTAGGAAGTGCAGGAAACATGAAGCAGGCCAGTGTCGTCCGTGTGGAGGAGCAGCCAAATGGGGTTATGAGGTCAGAGACTTGGGGAAACCAAGTCGTGGAGGACCTTGACAGTAAGAGCGATGGTTTTGTCCTCGATTCTCTGAAGAATGGGGAGCGAGTGAAGCCGTACAAGAACAGGGGCGATAGGTTCCCAGAGCCTGATGCGGGACAGTACATGAGCTGCAGAGTTCCTTAATAATCTGCAGCTTGTGGAAGGTAGAATAGTCCAGCAAGCAGGCAGTTGGCTTAGTCAAGTCGGGACGTGATGAAAGTGTGACTAAGGGTCTCAGCAGCCTGCAGTGAGAGGCAGTGACGGAGGTGAGCGATGTTGCCAAGGTGTGTAAGGGCAGAACGAGTCATAGGCATGAACGTGGGGTTGGAAGAAGAGCTGGAGGTCGAATAGAACACTGAAGTTTCATATTAGATCAGTGAGGTGAAAAGAGCAGCCATAAATTGACTGTATATTTGTGGGCGAAACGGGGTAGCCAATTGTGCATAGCAGTGCCCACGTGTCAGGGGCTGAGGTGAGGAGGCGCTCCTGGGAGCGAAGCAGGAGGGCCTCAGTCTTGCCAACATTAAGCTGGAGGAAGTTGACCCCATGTCTGCGGATTGTGTCACCAAGAGGGAGCATATAGATATTGAAGAGGAGGGGACTGAGGACAGAGGCCGCATGGTACGGGGGGGGGCTGGAGGAGAAGCTGTTTGTGATAAAATGGAGACGGTGTGAGAGGTAGGATCTGAATCAGTGAAGGACAGAACCATGAAGGTTGAGGTGAGAGGAGGTGGTGGAGGAGGAGTGGTTAACGATATCAAAGGTAGCAGAGAGGTCAAGGAGGCAGAGGGAGCCCTGCTATCAGATGGACAAAATGTCATTTGTCACTCTGACAAAAACTGTTTCCCTGCTCTGGATGGCATGAAAACCCAACTGAAGGGATTCACGCAGGAAAGGAAGGAGCGAAGCTGGGAAGCAACAACTTGTTCCAGGAAATTGGAGAGGTTGGAAATGGGATGGTAATTTGAGAGCAGGGATGGGTCCAGGGAGGTTTTTTTAAGGATAGGAGTGATGGTGGCTATTTTTAATAGGGGTGGGAACAGTACAAGCGGACAAGGAGAGGTTTATGAAAAAAATAAATCAATAAATTGGTCACTCAATCCAGGACTGTTTGTGGGACACTGCTGTGCACAATTGGCTGCTGCGGTTCGCCCACAAAAAATACAGTCAATTCACTTTCAGTATATCCTGTGAAGCCCTTTGAGACGTCTTGAAGATGTGATAAGGCGCTATATCAAATGCAAGGATTATTATTATATGTTAAGATATCTGTGAATAGGGGGGCAAGGAGGTGGAGCTGGGAGGCAAAGAGAGGGGTAGATATGGGCTCGGTTTCATGTGGGTTACAATGGTGGAGAGAGAGGAGGGAGAGACAGGTTCGAAGATGTGGAAGGATCCCACATGATTTCAAAGTAGCACCTTTGACATTGGGAGGACGATCAGGCCAGGCTCTCTGGAGGAAACAAAGCCAAAAATAATTGACTTACAATTCAGTGCCAAGTTGGACAATCCCTGGAAAACACCAATTCCCAATCCTAGCACTTGATTGACGTGACTGCATTTATCCACCTCAATGGAGAAAGTCCTTCCAACACAAAATAAATGAAATTAGCATAGATTCAACCGTCCATCCATCCATCAATCCCTTTTATTGTCCCTGCATTGTCCTTCCACCCCACCCGCCCAGCCGCCAGCCAATCAAACCACACACTCGTCAAGCCACCAGCGAATCAGAAGACCCACCCGCCCAGCCACCAGCCAATCAGACCACACAGCCGCCAGCCAATCAGACCACCCACCAGCCCAGCCACCAGCGAATCAGACCACCCACCCGCCCAGCCACCAGCCAATCAGACCACCCACCCGCCCAGCCACCAGCCAATCAGACCACTCACCCACGCAGCCACCAGCCAATCAGACCACTCACCCACGCAGCCGCCAGCCAATCAGACCAACCATCAGGCTGCCAATCAATCAGACCACCCACCCAGCCAGCAGCCAATCAGAACAACAACAACTTGAATTTATATAGCGCCCTCCACGCCAGACGGGTCTCAGAGCTTCACAGTAACGGATCCCAGGGTGGACTCAGTGGGAGGGGCCAGGGGGAGGAAGGTGACCAAAGGCGCGGTCGAAAAGAAAGGTCTTCAGCCGAGACTTCAAAGTGGGAAGAAAGGAAGCGAGGCAAAGGGAGTGAGGAAGGGAGTTCCAGAACCTTGGGGGGTAGTGGCTGAAAGCACGGCTGCCGATGGTGGAGCGGAGGACTCGGGGGACAAGGAGGAGGGCAACCCGGTGAAGCGAAGGCAACGGGCACTTTTGTGAGGAGAGAGGAGGTCAGAGAGGTCCGGGGGTGCAGACGAGTGCAGAGATTTGAAGACAAGGGTGAGGATCTTGAAGTCGATCCTCTCTGGGACAGGCAGCCAGTGCAGTCTGGCCAGGACGGGGGGGATCAGGGAGTGGGGTTTGGTGCGGGTAAGAATGCAGCCCGCAGAATTTTGTATGACCTGGATTTTATGAATGGCAGTGGAGGGGAGATCGGCGAGGAGGGCGTTAGGATAGTCCAGCCCAGAGGTGACAAAGGCATGGACCAGGGTTTCAACGGCTTTTGGAGTGAGGTATTGACAAAGACGGGTGATGAGTCGGAGGTGGAAGAAAGCGGTGTTGGTGAGGGACTGGACGTGGAGGAGGAAGGATAATTGTGGGTCGAACCTGACACCTAGGTTGCGTACAGGTTTGGAGAGTTTTAGGGGGAGGTCGGGTAGGTTAGGAGATGAGAACCGTGTGATTTTAGACGTTGACGAGAGCCAAAGAGTATTGCTTCCGTCTTGTCAACGTTCAGCTGAACGAAATTCGCGCACATCCAGCTCCTGAGGTCTGACAGGCAGCTGACAGAACATCAGGGGACTGGGGGTCGCAAAGTGAGGGGGAGAAATAAAGTTGGGTGTCGTCCACATACATGTGGAAATGTACCCCATGTCTGTGGATAACATCCCCGAGAGGGAGCATATAGATCAGAAAGAAGGGGCCAAGGATGGATCCCTGGGGTATCCGCAGGTGACCGGGTGAGAGAGAGAGAAGCCGTTTGTGCAGATGTACTGCTGGCGGTTTATGAGGTAGGACTCGAACCGGGCGAGTGCGGTCCCACTGAGGTGGATGATGGAGGAAAGGCGGTGGAGGAGGATGGAGTGATCGACTGTGTCAAATGTGGCGGAGAGATCCAGGAGGACAAGGAGGCAGAGGGAGCCCTGGTCACAGATAGAGCGGATGTCGTTTGTGACTTTCACAAGTGCAGTCTCTGTGCTGTGGGCGGAAACCGGACTGGAGGGGTTTGAAGAGGGAGTGGGAGGAGGTGTGCGCACAGTTCATCAGCAACAATGTGTTCTAGGACTTTTGAGAGGAAGGGCAGGTTAGAAATAGGGCGGTAATGGCTGGGGTTTGAGGGACCGAGGGAAGGTTTTTTGAGGAGGGGGGGTGATGACAGCAGACCACCCAGCCACCAACCAATCAGAGCACCCACCAGCCGAGCCACCAGCCAATCAGACAAACACCCGCCCCAGCCACCAGCCAATCAAGTTACGAGGATAGGCTGACCAATTTGGGGCTATATTCTCTGGAATATAGAAGAATTAGAGGGGCTCTTATAGAAACCTATAAGATCATCAAAGGGCAATGATAGAGTAGATAGTGGGAGATTGTGTCCCCTGTTTGGAGAAACTAAAACCAGGGGTCACAACCTTAAAATCAGAGGCAGCCCTTTCGCACTGAGTTGAGGAAGAACTTCTTCACTCAAAGGGCAGTGAATGTATGGAACTCACTACCCCAAAGGGCTGTTGACGCTCAGTCCTTGAACATATTCAAGACTGAGATAGATAGATTTCTTATTGCAAAAGGGATTAAGGGATATGGGGGTGAGGCGGGGTCAGGTTATTAGCTGGAGTTAGATTAGAAGATCAGCCATGATTGAATGGCAGGGCAGGCTAGAAGGGCCGAATGGCCTCCTCCTGCTCCTACATGTTATGTTATCATACCACACACACACCCAGCAGCCTGCCAGTCAGACCACCCACCAAACTATCAGCCAATCAGACCACCCAGCCGCCAGCCAATCAGACCAACTACCTGCCCAGCCACCAACCAACCAGACCACCCATCCACTGAGCCATCAGCCAATCAGACCACATACCCGCCCAGCCACCAGTCAAACAGACCTCCTGCCCGTCCAGCCACCAGCCAATCAGACTTTCCACCAGGCCAGGCCGTCAGGCCAGCCACCAGCCAATCAGAATCCCCCGCCCCAGCAATTCAGATGCCCTGCCCACCCATCACCCATCTACCAGCCAATTAGACCACCAACCAACCGAGCCACCAGCCAATCAGACCTCCTGCCCAGCAACCAGCCAATCAAACCACAAACCCGCCCAGCCACCAGCCAATCAGACTTTCCGCCCACCCAGCCACGAGCCATTCAGTCCTCCCGCCCGGCCAGCCTCCGGCTAATCAGACTCCCAGGCGAGCCACGAGCCATTCAAGCCCAGCCTGCAGCCAATCAGACCTCCCGCCAGCCCGACCACCAGCCAACCAGAATCACCCACCCACAAGCCATTCAGACCTCCCGCCAACCCACCGGCTAATCAGTCCACCCACCTGCCCAGCCACCAGCCAAACAGACCACCCACCCGCTCAGCCAATCAGATCTACCGTGGAGTCACCATCCAATCAGACCATACGCCCAATCACCAGCCAATCAGACCACCTACCCACCAATCAGACCACCCACCCGCCCAGCCACCAGGCCAATCAAACAACACAACTGTTCACACCAGCCAATCAGACCACAGACCCGCCCAGCCGCCAGCCAAGCAGACCACCCATCAAGCCGCCAGCGAATCAGATCACCCACCCACCCATCAGATCACCCACCTGGATAGCCATTAGCCAACGAGACCACCAATGAAGCTGCCAGCCAATCATACCACCCACCCAGAAACCAGCCAATCAGACCACACACACGCAGAGCCACCAGCCAATCAGACCACACACCTGCCCAGTCTTGTTCACATTCAACTGTAGGAAATTTGCCCTCAACCAATCATACGACACACCCACCCAGCTACCAGCCAACCAAACCACCCAGCAAGCTGCCTGTCAATCAGACCACCCATCCAGCCACCAGCCAATCAGACGACCCACCCGCTCAGCCACCAGCCAATCAAAACGTTGGGAGGACGTCCCAAGGCTCTGGACAGTGACAGCATTTCAGACCCGAGTTGGGGTCAGGAGGGAGATGGGAGGGGAAGGGGGGTGGATGATGGCATAGTCAAACAGGAGGGTCTTGAGGCGAGACTTGAAGGAGGCTAAGGAGGGGCCAAGGCAGCGTGACGGGGGGATGGAGTTCCAGAGGTTCGGGGCTTAGTGGCCGAAGGCTCTCCCACCAATGGTGGGTCTGGGGATGTGGAGCAGCCAGAGCCGGCTGAGCGGAGGGAGCGGACGGATTGGTAGGAGGTTAGGAGGTCACAGAGGTAGGGTGGGGAGAGGCCACGAAGGACTTTGTATGTGAGGACCAGGATCTTGAACTGGATCCTCTGAAGGATAGGGAGCAAATGGAGTCGGGCGAGAGTGGGGGAGATGGGGTCACGGAGTTTGGTGCGGGAGAGGACACGGGCTACAGAGTTCTGGATTATCTGCAGCCTGTGGAGGGAGGAGTTGGGAAGGCCGACAAGCAGGGGGTTTGCATAGTCGAGCCTGGAGGTGATGAAGGCATGAACAAGAGTTTCAGCGGCCTATGGGGTGGTAGTGGTGGAGTCAGGCGATGTTGCGGAGGTGAGGGAAGGCAGAGCGGTCATGGCTTGGATGTGAGGAAGAAAAGACAGTTGAAGGCCGAACAAGACACTGAGGTTCCTGACTGGCTGGGGAGTTGAAGTGTGCAACCATGGAGGTTGATGCTGCCAGAGCCTGAAGTGCAGAGGCGCCCAACGACCAACCAATCATACCACACATCCGCACAGTCACCAGCCAATCAGACCACACATTAAGTTGCCTACCAGTGAGACCACCACTCGCGAAGCCACCAGCCAACTAGACCACGCACTCACCCAGCCACCAACCAATCAGAACACCCACTCGCCGAGCCACCAGCTAATCAGACCACCCACCCACCAATCCACCAATCAAATCACCCACCCACCAAGCCACTTGTCAAACAGAACACACATCCGCCCAGCCACCAGCCAATCAGAGCTCCCGTCCAGCCGCCAGCCAATCAGAGCTCCCGCCCAGCAATCAGCCAATCAGACCACACACCTATTCAGCCTCCGTCCAATCAGACCTCTCGCCAGCCCAGCCACCAGCCAATCAGAAGCCCCCACCCAGCCACCAGCCATTCAGACCTCGCGTCTACCCACCAGACAATCAGATCACCCACCCACCCAACCACCAGCCAATCCACCTGCCCAGCCACCAGTCAATCAGGGCACCCACCCGCCCAGCCGATCAGACCTACCGTGAAGCCACCAACCAATCAGACCACCCACCTGCCCAGCCACCAGCCAATCAAACCACCTGCCCAACCACCAGCCAATCAGACCA